AAGAAAGTTAGAAAAAAATAAATAATACTAGTCATTATTGATTATATTTTTCTAATTGGAAGTAGGGAAATATCACCTCTCATTCTGCAGACAGATGCTCATTTCCAGAGCTGAATATTAGTCTGAGAGTCCAGCCTATTTGTGGCAGCACAAACAATAGCAATCTTAAAGTGAGCTACACTAGTTGCAATGAATAAAGAATTCCACCTTCAGAGGGACATCTGGATGGGGGAGAAATGGATTGTAGTCTACACTATGATCTGTAGGGATGGATTGTAGGCGTATACATTCCTACCTGGGTGAATCTGCTCATATAGTTCCCCTTGCCTGAATTCTCTCTCAGCTCATTTCTGCTTATCTATCTCCTGACACACCTAGAATCCTATCTCTTCCATTCAACCTATCCCTTTGTTGGTTCTCAAACTTTAGTTCAGTGAGCATCCAAATCACCTGGGGTAGAGGAAGGATGAGAAAAAGGCTGAGGAAGTTGTTAAAATGCCTTTTCCTGGAATCTGTGGCCAGAGATTCTGATGTAGCAAGTGTGGTATGGGGCCCAGAGTTCTAAAGTTTTAACAAGCTCTTAGGGGCTTCTGATGCAAAGGATCCCCAACCACATTTGGAGAAACTCATTTTAGGACCTTTTATAAATTTGTATCATTCTCTGCTATGTGGCTTATGCTATCATGTCTGTACTGTCTTTCCCATAAGATTATGGGTGCCAAAAGCTAAGTATTGCATACAAACTAAGCTTGATAACTAATATAGATTCCTTTTTCTGTTCTTTACTTTTTCAGTTTTTTTGAGATATAATTGACAAAGAAAATTGTATATATTTAATATATACAACTTGATGTTTTAATATATGTATACATTGTAAAATGATTACAATTAAGCTAATTAACACACCCATTACCTCACATAGTTACCATTTTCTTTTGTTGTTGTTCTTTATTTTTTAATCCCTCCTGGCATATAACATCAAGTTACAAAGGACAATGAGGAGAAGGTAATAAGAAAAACAATTACTAAAAAAAAAATGCTTTTTTTCAATGGTGAGAGAATTTTAACAAATTGCATTGAATTTTGAGGACAATGAAAGAACCGAGGTCAGGGCTAGCAAAAGCCTCCATTGGCCTTCCATGTCCCTAAAGGATGCTAAACTCCCATTCAAAACAACAAGCCAGGAGTGACTAAGCCTCAGTCAGACACATTAAATATGCTTCATTGCAGATGCTGGTCTGAACTGGGTGCCTAAAGCCATTTGATCACACTGAAGAATTTAACATTTAAAATTGATGTGCCACCAGAATCACTTCAAGGCCTGAATGGGCCTGAAATCTGCAGATAATTTCTTAGAAACTTGAAAAGGGGTGGGGTGGGGGGGAGAATGTCTGAACACTTGCAAATTCTAAGAGTTCTCTATCCTGTCCAAGTTTATTGGATGTGATGGGTAATCTTATGTATCAATCATTACTTCTGGGTGCGTCTGTGAGGGTCTTTCCAGTTGAAATGAATCAATAGACTAAAGAAAGCAAATTGCCTTGCTTGTATGGGTGTGCATCATCTAATCTGTTGAGAGCCTGAATAGAACAAAAAGGTGGAAGAAGGCAGAATACATTCTCTGTCTGACTGCTCCAGTTGGGACATCAGTCTTCTGTTCTCAGAAAAGAACTTACACTATTGGTTCTGATGCTTTTCAGGTCTTTGGACATCTTTCCAGGGTCTCCAATTTGCAGATGACAGACTGTGGGACTTCTCAGCCACCATAGTGTGTAAGCCAATTCCTTATAGTAAATCATTGGTTCTGTTTCTCTGGAGAACCCTGACTAATACACAGGACCCAAGTAAAGGGAACATGTGAACTGAATGAAAGAGTTTAAGAACATGTTTGGTCAGATAAGTATTGTCAAGGTGTGAGGATAGAAAAATCTCCATAGGCCCTGGCCGGTGGCTTAGTTGGTTAGAGCATTGTCCCAATATGCCAAGGTTGCGGATTTAATTTCCAGTCAGGATATATACAAGAAGCAACCAATGAATGCATAAATAAGTAAAACAACAAATTGATCTCTCTCTCTCTCTCTCTCTCTCTCTCTCTCTTTCTTCTTCTTCTTCTTCTTCTTCTTCTTCTTCTTCTTCTTCTTCTTCTTCTTCTTCTTTCTCTCTCTCTCTCTCTCTCTCTCTCTCTCTCAACATTAACAAAAAAAAAATTTATACCCTCCACTCTCAAAAGTCAATTTTTATTTTTTAAATATATTTATTGATTTCAGAGAGGAAGGGAGAGGAAGAGAGATAGAAACATCAATGATGACAGAGAATCATTGATCAGCTGCCTCCTGCACACCCCTTACTGGGGATCGAGCCCACAACTCAGGCATGCGCCCTTGACAGGAAATGAACCTGGGACCCTTCAGTCCCTGGGCCAATGCTTTATCTACTGAGCCAAATTGGTCAGGGCTCAAAAGTCAATTTTTAAAAAAAAAAAAAAAAACTTTTTAAAAAAGAAGAATCTCCATAAAGGAGAAATAATAAAAAATGCATAGTTCCACCCGGCCAGTGTAGCTTCAGTTCCTATTTTTATTTTTTGAAATATATAAATATGTATATATCCATATACATAGATATATCCCAGGCTAGATATATACACATGAGTACACACACACCTCCTACTTCAAAGAAAATTTGGCATGAGATTCACCAACATGTTAATAGTGACTATCTATGAGTGGTAGGATTACAAGTGATATTTATTTTCTTCTTTATGCTTTTTGTGTTTGTTTGTTTGTTTGTTTTTAAAAAAACACAACAGTTAGTTATATGATGTTATGGAATCAGAAAAAAGTCCTATCTGTTTTTAAAAGGTGGATGAAAAAATCCTTCGCTGGTGTTCTTATAAAACTAGCAACAGAAAATATCTACAATTAATGACTCTTAGAGGGAAGAAGAGTTAATATAAGATCAATCATATAGGAACAATTTGCATGCAGGTAAACTTGATTTTCCAGATCTCCAAATACTATGGGAGGGCTAGAATTTTTTTTTGATTTGTCTAAGCCAATCAACACAGATTGGGAGGATGATCAGAACACTCAGAACGTATTTTGAATTAATTGCCTCTAAAATTTTGCTTACTCAAAGCAAAAGAAATGTGGATAAAAACAACAACAACCAACCCAAATCCCTTCATATACCTATCTAGTTGCAATAATATATCTAACTGGTCTCAATAATTCAGGAATATTTATAAGAAAGATCTACAGCTCCTTCACAGGCCATCATGAGCTCCCCAAGGCATTCTATTTTCTTTATTATGCTTTGGGTTTTAGACTAAATCTATCAAAATTTAAAAATAAACATACAGGAGTGGGAAAAATTAGGTTTAAGTTGTTGATGAAACAGTTTATTTTTGTATTAATTATTTTCCATATGAACTATAAACCTACTTTTGCCCACCCCTGTATGTGTGTGCGTGTGTGTGTGTGTGTGTGTGTATACCTTTTGATCTAACAATTTAACTTCTATGAACTTAACCTATAAATCTTTATATAATTTGCCAAGTTACATGTAGAAGATGTTTACTGATGAATTGTTTATAGTAGCAAGGAACTAGAAACAACATACATGAATTCCAATAGGAGGTGGATGATAAAAATAAAGTTTGTATATAGTATGTACAAGATTTACATAAGGCCCATAAGAATCACAGAGGTTAATCTGCCTGGGATAATTCCAACAATATTATAAATTGGTAGAATCAACCGAGGCAGAGAGAGAGATAAAGCAGAACGATGGATGGTATGCTCCAAATCCACAGGGAAAAGAAGCTATGGTAATATATTCATCCACCATTTGAATGTATCTTTCTTTGAAAATTAAATCATTGAGAGTCACCTAGACGCTAAAAGAAGTGGTCAGAGTGGAAGGAATAAGAGAGCCTACCTTTGTTGGGTAATATATTTTAACCTCAGAAATGTAAGAGAAAAAATAGTGACAAAATTGTCCTCGTTGATATGAAGTTCTGTCTTGATTTTTCATACCAGCTACTGCTGATATCATTATGGAGCAAATTCACTGAAGAGTGAAATTTATTTTTTTGAAACCAAATGTATAGAGATGTTTAAAAACTGTTCACCCATGCACAAAATGAAAGGAATATGCAGTACAAACACACATAGAACACTAGGTGAAAAGTGAAACTGTATTTCAGCAGTGCAGGGGTGTGGGGGAACGATGTGGCTACCAGACGAAGAAACTCAGAGGTTATCATGACGTGACCTTTTCATTCGGGACTGGGCCAAGTCAGGAAAGGAGACATGAAGGAAAGCAGAGAGAATATTAAGGAAAAGGATATTATATCTTTTTCAAACAGGAACTTCTTTTGAGTATTGCACATGCCTTATCTATACCTAATATATTTTGACATATCTGTGTTCAAGCCAGAGCCATTTGATTCCTCCCTCTGTGCCAAAGGACAACCTTCCTTTTGGCCTCTCCTCAAGAACAAAGCTGATAATATTTCAGAGGAAATCATAATGAATTGATCGATTCTAAAATAAAACCACAGAGTGTAATCACTGAAAACTTACTGCATTAGAGGAACTTGATAATTCAGCTTCTAAATATCTGGTAAGTACTACTCTTTGTAATATTTTAAGCAATAAAAAAAATAAAAGTGGTAAAATATACAAAAAAATATCTGGTAAGGCTATTTAGTGACAAAATTGACTACCTAACTGCTGAATTTCCCCACCATGTCTGTAATTTCTCTTTCACTACAGTTTAATAGGCTACAAATGAATTTTTCGGGACAGTAAATGTAAAACTTCCAGACATATATAAAAGGCCTACAATAGAAGAGCTCTATTGTAATGCAGCTTATATTAGACCCTTGAGATGCAACTTTATCCAGTCTTCCATTTGTTTCACCTCAACACATCAGTGATTCAACAAGTGAAAAGTTTCCATATAGTCAAGAAAATTTTATTCATCATCTGATCACTCACCACGGAATAATAATTCTTGGTAAGTGGAGTAGTTTCAAATCCTTTGATAGCCTTGGGGGAGAGAGGTCTCTCTGTGAAAAAAAAATTAATTATATTAATATCATACAAGTATAAGATGAACATTTTATAACATAGGTCAACTAAAACACCATAAATATTATCAAGTGGAAAGATCAATGGAAATATACATTCCTAAACAAGAAACCATAATTTTACCAAACCACATATGGTCAAAGTTAGATCTTCTTATCCAGATCCATCAATTTCTGAGGGGGAGAATAAAACAAGGAGTTAAGGTTTAGCTACTTAATGCCAGGGTGATGGCAAGAACTTCACTCCCAGCTTCAGGTTGTTCCACTCAGCTTATCAAAACAGATAAATAAGGAAGGCCAATGCTAACCAAATGCATATTTATAACTTGCAACTTACAATTCAAGTATAATATAAATAATAGTAACTATACTTTCTTAGGGCTATCTACTGTGCCAAAAATAAAATAATCAGAATATATAATATACTAAAACAAGCAGAAAACTCTTCTCTTTTATGCATCATTTTAATATTAATACATTATGCTGTAAAATGCTTTCTTTCTTTTACAAAGTTAATTTTACCTACTAAACTCATGACTAAGAGACATCCTAGTACCTTTTTTCTTTAGAAAAGAAAAGCAGTTAATAAAAATACAAGACATTGGTGATAAATGTTTAACAGTCACTACATACTATCTTTCCTACCCTCATTTTCTCCTTTGCTTCATTTTGTTTTATATTCCACTTTTATCTTGCTAGATTGTATGTGGTTTTAACCTTTCTGAAGTATGAGGGAGTATAAATAACCAAACAATATACTAACATCAGGCCTTGATTTTTCTTTTTTTTAAATTATACTTTCTAGTTTTAAATCTATTACATATCCACCCTAAAAATGCAAAACATAGAAAATTTAGAAAAAAGAAAAACAACGGTTGGCCCATCACCCAGAGTAACATTTTGAAATGTGTCTTCTCAAACATATACACATACAAACGGATCTTTCTTACTTTACCTACAGTTTTATAATTCTACTACTACAACATTATTTCATGGATGATTTCCCATTTAACCTTTATTTCTAATTATTATTATATTTAAAATATCCCTTATGTTTATTTGACTCATAAGAGCTTTTAAAACATTTTTTTATTATTTCTACAACAACCCTGTCAGGCAGAAATGATCTCATTTTGCAGGGGTCACTAAGGTTCAGAAAGGTGGTGTCAGCTGCTTAATGGTATGAATCCGGGAAACACAGGTGTGCCTTGATAAGAGGCTACTCTTCTAATCAACATGAGGTCCTGAGATAAAGCTATTGAAGGTTTCAATTGATGAGTAATGGTTCCTACTGGAGTTCAGAAAGACCATCAGTTTGACTTGGGATGGTCAGAGAAGACTTTGCTGGGCAGAGGACACGTGATCTGGCTCTGGAAAGTGGCTAGAATTCAAACAGGCATAGAAGACAGTAGGGAGTTTTGTAGTCAGGGAAGATTCCAGAAACACAGCCATAGTAATGACAATGCTCAAGGCAGAACTGTTCCTGTGATGGAGAATTGTACAGCTTTGCCAGGCTGAGCAGAGTGGAAACAAAGTAAAAAGGCAACAATGAGGGCCAATTCGATCATTTTCCAGTGATGACAAATGGGGTATGGCCAGTTTGAGGAAAGTTTATGCTATTTCAAGATCTGCCTGGATCCACTTGGTGGCTTCACAAGGCTTTACTGGGTGAACCTGAGCAATGTGGAACCACCTTGCCTATTACTTGAGATTGTAGTGGCAGTGACAGTACTCGAACCCAAGTATTGCATTACCAAATCTGGTGTTCTTTCCAATACACCATAGTTTTGCACTCTTAGACATATTAAAAATTGACCATTACCAAATTCTTTTAGTTTTGTATTAGGCAAATTTTCTATAATGTAGCTATAATGGTTCTACTTTTTTTTAAAATATATTTTATTGATTTTTTACAGAGAGGAAAGGAGAGAGATAGAGATAGAGAGTTAGAAAAAACTTCCAGTCCTGGCCGGTGTGACTCAGGGGATTGAGCGTCAGCTGGGTTTGCTTCCTTTACTGACCACATACCTGGGTTTGCAGGTTCGAGCCCCAGTCCCTGTTGGGGCGTGTGTAGGAGGCAACCAATCAATGTGTCTCTCTCACATCAATGTCTCTCTCTCCCTCTCTCCCTCCCTCCCTTCTTCTCTCCCTCCCTTATTCCCTCCTTTCCTCCCTTCCACTCTCTCTAAAAATCAATGGGAAAAAGTATCCTCTCGTGAGAATTAACAAAAAAGATAAAAGAAGAAAAACTTCCAGAAAAAAAATAGTAATAAACATCAACTTTTGCAAAGCAATAAAGAACATCTATGAAAACCTATAGCTAGCATCTTACATAATGGTGAAAAACCAAATGATTTCCCCCCTAAGATTAGGAACAAGGCAAGGATGTGTGTTCTCGCCAATCTTTTTTCTTTTAGATTTATTTTTTCAATTACATTTGACATTCAATGTTATATTAGTTTCAGGTGTACAACATAGTGATTAGCAATTTATATCACTTATGAAGTGACCATCCCGATTAGACTAGTACCCATCTCACCACTCTTTTTCAGCAAAGTATTGGAAGTTCTAGCTCTTCTTGCAGGTTTGGCAAGGGCAATCAAAACAAAAAGAGTAGAAGGAAGACAGATTTGGAAGTACAGACTTGGGAAATCAAAAAAAAATGTAGCCCTTGTAAATTACTGGCCCTATTAGGGTGTGGGGAATCAAGGAGTGGTTACAAAAAGAAAAACATCAGCACTGCCTCAGTGACAGTTTCCTACCTCTGGTTCCTCTTTGCCCCCCACCCCCACTGCTACCATTGCTTACTCTTACTATGTGCAGTTCTCTCTGAAACCTACACTGAGCAACATGCAGAGAAGGAGCAAAGATGTGGAGATTCAGAGGAAATATGTTCAATACCTGGGGGTATTTCAATGTGACCTAACTGGAACTAACATCAAAACATGTAATTCCTTAACTAATAAAGAATTTAAAGATTAAAAAAAAACTTAAACATTTTAGGTGGTGATTCTAAGGCAATGAAAAGATTGGTCAATTCAATTCAATCACTGAAAAAGAACATCAGCGTAATAAAGAATTCAAATGGGTTATTTGGCACAATATAACTCAAATAACAACAGTGTCACATAGATATATATGAAGCACTCCAAATCCTGATATAAAGATTCCTTTCCAATTAAGTTTTTTTTGTACCAGTTAACTTTTGATTCTTTCCCTTCCCTTGCTGATATACAGATTAGCCATCTACCTAGACAAAAAGAACTTTAGTGACACTAGTTTCTCTGATATGAAACATCTATGTGATATACCCAGGGGATTAAACAGGAAGTCTAAATATAAAGCTCAATCCAAGTTTTGGTATATAATCAGTAGAGCCATTTTTTAATCTGCCTTAATACAAATTTAATTAGCCATCTACCTAACTCCTTTATTTGATATCTGTATTTACCTTCTAATAAGAAGTTTTAGAAGAAGGATTTAATGACCCCTTAATTGAATCAGTTGTATGACAGTAGGGTTTAAAATTCTAAATTGAAAGTTTCATTTCAATGAGATGTACATTTAATCTATGAATCATTTTTTAAACAACTTAAAGATAAATCTTCTTTCCTAAGCTTATACATCAGTGTGAACTTCCTGGAAAGAAATAAAAGTTGATAAGTATTTTCTAGACCAAACATAAAACAGCATAGCATTGAGTTTAAAATGCCCCTCTGCAGCATCCTACTCACTATTTTGTGAAGCAGCAAGAGTTGGGATGGGAAAGAATTTAAGTCAACAAAGACTTGATACCTACTTTCCTAACAAGACATTTTCGTTACATCAAGCTAATCTCTCCCACTGTTCCCCAAGCTCACTCTGCTCAATCCTACTGCAGATCTTTTGTGGTTTTTGTTCTCTCTGATCAATCACTGATTTAGATTGTCCCCCACTCTCTTTTGGGCCTACCCATAGCCTACATGTCTCTGGGGGTTCAATTCAAGCTCTACCTTCTCTGTGAAGCCTTCCCCAGCCTCTCCAGCCACAGTGCATTCTCTGTCCACTGATGATCTGCTATATATTTTATATTTCATCATCTACCACTTTATACTGTCAGTTGTCAGTTTCATCTCCAGCTCTTCTATCTCTCCCATGCTCTAAATCCATACTGCCAACTACCTGTTGAAAATCTTCAGAACTATGATTTGCTGGCACCTCTACTCAACATGCCCAAAATAATAACTCCTCATCTTCAGTGCCAATAACCCACCCAACACACACACACACACACACACACACACACATTATCTTCCCTATCGCCTCTATTAATGGAGGTCAGCACTTATCAGACATTTCCAATGTCTAAAGCACTGTGTTGGGCACTATGGAGACAGAGAAGTATACAAAGATGAATTAGTCTCCCTTGACTTCCCTGTCAGGATAAATTAGTCACCTCTCTTCTACTCACCATTCTCCAAAGCGCCCCGTATTTAGCTCTATCACTAATCTTTCACGTTGCATTTTTATATCTCTCCTTCACTAGATTATGAATACCATGAAGGCAAGATTTATGTCTTAGGTTTCTCTGCCTCACCAGTGCCTAGGAAAGACTAAGATCTTAGTCACAGGGAATAAACTTTTGCTGACTGGCTAAGTGGATTAACACTGCATGTCTCTAAAGAGCTCACCATCAAGCTGGACCCCTATACTTGCAATTATTCTCATCTCTTCCCTTTTCCCCATAACTTAATCATCAGCAAGTTTTCTTGATCCCATTTTAACAGTATATACTGCATACATCCACTTTCTCTTCCTCTCCACTTTCACAGAAATAGCCTACACCACTATCTGGATTGTCTGGACCTCAGCAGTTATCTCTACTGGCTTCCCCACATCCTCCTTAGTTATCCTCACCACTTCCCTGCAATCCAGCCCCCACACTACCACTAGAAAGATCTTTCCAAACCACATATTATCCCTTGTATTGACACCCCTCT